ATCCTCACGGAAATACGACAAGCATTTTTTAACTACAGACTATACCAAAGAAAAACATTGTCTCGTAATACCCTCAATGGAATCCCAGGCAACACCAGAATCATTCTTGATGAATATCAGTGATGAGAACCTTGCTAGTAGGCTTTGCCAAGAGATCTGTGTACTCTTGGAATGGAGATCTTACAAAGCGGGTCTCCTTCCAAAAGTCAGGTGTAAGGAACCCATAAGTCTTCAGCAAGCAGTCAAACGTTGCCTGCAGATGAATAAAGGTTAGATATCCACACAAATACACACCCTTAATCCTATGGATACTAACACCCAACAACTATAGCAAGAGAAAAAACAACCAATCAAGCAGTGAAGCACAGAAGAGGGTTACATAAAATAAGTACCTAACAAGCTCAATGCAAATATTTAGGAGCACCAAAGTTTCAACATCAAACAGAAGTCAATAAACAAGTAGGCAAGTAGTAGACATTCCAACTCACAAAACCTAATTGAAAGGACCCCCAAGGATCAACAAGAGATACCCACAATAACAGTACCAAATTGCAATACATTATAGCCACTCAAGGTAAAGAAGCTAAACCCAAAACAAACAAACGGGTTTGCATTCCCCTTCAATGCAGTTACCCTATCCATCTCCCCAATCTTGACGAACCACCTTAATATCAGGAGAGAGAAAAAAAACCACTTCACAATGATAACCCCAAACAAGATAACAAGGTCAGGCAGGAAAGAGATAAAAAGTGCAGATTATGTTTGCTTTAGCTTCCAACAAATGTAAATCATTCAATAATAAATTTAACACAAGCAAGCCCATGACAACAGAAAAAAATGGACCAACAGTGAAGACAACTTCTTGGTAAAAAAGAATGCCTCAGTTTTCTCAACATACAAATCCATTACTATTCTTGAAAATTAAGACCGAAAGAGTAAGCAGAATTCCTCAGATCAAAACATTTCCACAGCAACAATTAACATAATCTTTTAAATTTAAAAACTAACAGCCACTCACTCACTCACTCACACTGACATGATTGAAAATCCTGTAGATTAAGCAACTTCATCATCATTAAGACAATTCTCTGCCACCATGATTAAGACATCAAACCAATATAAAACAAGCAATCACACATCCATAATTAACATTGACAATATACACATCTCTTAATCACAGCAATAAATCACTTCAAATTTACCCAATGAAACTAACATGACCAACCCTATTTCGAAACAACAAAATAAAACCCACGTCAGAGTTCTAAATAAAAAACAAACCTTGACGAAGTTTCCAAGAGTCTTGGTAGATCCTCTGGATGATGTGAAAACATCATCAATCCCGGCAAACTGAAGCACCTTCTTTGGAACCCTAGCAGCAACGATCCCAGCTCCACGAGGGGCAGGAACCATTCTCACAGTTACACTTCCACACTTCCCTGTAACCTTACAAGGCACAGTATGTGGCTTTCCGATCTTGTTTCCCCAGTACCCTCTTCTCACAGGAATAATCGACAGTTTAGCCAGAATAATAGCCCCGCGAATGGCAGTAGCCACCTCTTTAGCACACTTCACACCCAACCCAACATGTCCATTACAATCGCCAACTACAACAAAGGCCTTGAACCGGGTTCGCTGACCGGCTCTGGTTTGTTTTTGAACTGGGGTGATTTTCATCACCTCATCTTTCAAACCAGGGCCAATGAGAGTGTCAATGATTTGATACTCCTTGATGGGCAGGGAGTGAAGGTAGATTTGTTCCACGGAGGATATTTTTCCGTCTTTCACAAGGCGGCTTAGTTTGGTGACGGGAACCCATTTTTCTTCTTCCTCTTTGCGTCCCCCGCGGCGGCGGCCTCGGCCACCACGGTCTCCCCGTCCACCACGGCCACCGAAACCACGGCCGAAGGAACCACGTTCTGCGGGGGGCCGCTCTGCCATGATTGCTGGTTCTGTTAAACGATCGAAATTAGGGTTTCGAGAGAGAGGCAGATGCGGAAGGAGTGTTGAGAAGAAGGGTTTTATAAGAGAAGGGGAGAGCTAGGGTTAGTGAGTGAGAGGTTAATGTTTGAGGTAGTTGCTAAACTTTTCCGTTTTAATTATTTTGGTACCTCAAATTAAATCTTGTTTAATTGAGTTCTTGAACTACATGTGGAATTGGAAATTTTATTTTTATACTGATATTTGTTTGGTATTCTAGAGTTGCTCTAAAATTCAAAACATTTTGCAAAATCGGATCCTCCATTGTTCGTTCCACCTCATGAAGATCAATTTTTCAGTAAAAATCATCATTTCAAACGAGCCCTTCTATTTGTGATAAAAATAACGATCATTTAATTATATTAAATTCAAGAAAAATAAAATAGTAAAATCCATGGAAAATTCGAATACCTTATTATAATTATATTATTGCTGATTTATTAAAATAGTTTCCTTTGTTTCCTTATATATATATATAAGAAAGATTTAAATTTTCTCACATGATTTTAATTAAAAAAAGCATAAAAAAATAGATTTGGAGAGAAGAAGTAGAGTCAAAATAAAGTTTTAACTCAATTTAATTACGATAAATTATAGTATGGAATTGTTTACAAATATTCTCTTACCAATTGGGTCCTTTAAAGTCCCCGAGATACAAGCTGCTGCTGGCATGGATCAATAGTTCGAGACCAGTGAGCTTGACGATGATCCAAACATGGTCTTGGGCAAAATTCATCAGATTATGGCCCTCCTCATAGCTACGTTTGGGCTTCTCTATTGAGATGTGATTGTTTTGGGCCTCTGGTAAGTACATTAAGGCCCAATATATTATTTAAGCTCAATAGATCCGGGACCTGGCTGGAAGCCCAAGTACTCTTCTTTCCTTTCTATCTTTCCTTTTTCTTTTCTTTTCTTTTCTTTTCTTTTTTTCTTTTCTTTTTTTCTTGTTTTATTTACAATGACTTTTTTTTTTCTAAAGTATTCAATGTGGAATTAAAATTCATTTAGTAATGTAAGCATATAAGCCAAGCAGGGGAAATGGGTTAAATGATAGGCTTTCCAACGTTATTAAGAAAATAATTACTTTTCTCCATTGTAATTAGTTAATACAAGTCAAAATCCTTCAAATGATTATTATGGATTTTTAGTTTTTTTTATTTGATAAAAAAAAGGCTGGAACACGGGACTTTTTAAGATGATGGGTTGATCTAAAATAATAATAATAACTTTTATGTTGTTTAGTATTATTAGTGTTTGAGAGTACTGTAATTTTTGTTCTAGAACATATTTCAAAAATATGCTTTATTTTAAAAAAATTAGGCTAATGTAAAAAATAATTTAAAAAAAAAAACTATTTTAATGTATTTTTAAATAAAAAAACAACTCACAATATGTTTAATATTATAGTAGCTTTTTTTTTATCATATTATAGAAAAAAACTATTTGATTAGTCAAATAATTCTATTTTTACATTGAATTACACGGATAATTGCATATTAAATTTTGATTTTGTATAATTTAAAATAACTTATTTTTATATATTAAGATTTATTTTTTATTTATTTTGCATGCAAAATTCTATTTCACAATAATTTTAACAAGATATATATTTTTTAAATTAATTCTTTTATATATATATATATATATTTTAAATACGGTAACAAACACACACTAAAAGTCATATTTTTTACCTCTAACATTCCTCTCTTTCTAGACAGGGCATTAGCCCCACCTCCCACCCCTATATTTCACCTGTCCCGTTTGCTGGGATACCATTTATCTGGAAGTATATACTTGTTGGAGAACCTTCCAGAGAAGACATGTCATCAAGTCTCCATCTGTTTTTTTTTTTAATAACATTTTTTTTTAAAAAAAATCTTTAATATTAAAATAAAATTATTAAAAATTTTATCACTGGATTTCACCAAGTGAATTTCTTCCATAATAATAATATAAAAACTAGGTTTTGAGTCCAACCATAAATCAAATGGTAAGAAAAAGTCTACACGATGAATGACAGAATTTTAAGGATTCAGAGCACTCAAGGACTCCCCAGTTGTACTAACAGCCTAGGATCCTCCATGAACAACACGGAGAGGACACTTCTTAAGCATTGAAGTAGCAGGCTGTCCTTGGACCTGTTTACAGGAGAACTGCATCTCACCTTAAAAACGACAGAAATTATTGAATACGGCGAGCCTGTGGGCATCATTGAACATGCAAGCGAGTTTTCAAACTTCCTTTCAAGACAGATCTATAAATGGTTCTGGGGAAAATGAATTATGAGCATGCTATCAGCTCTATTTCTGTTCTTGTCACTCTCTGCATGTTACACATGGTGGGTATGAAGGCAAGTCAGGGCTGGGTCCCTGAGCCTGAAGGGTCACTATACAAGGACTTGACCATCTCAGGTGAACGGATTCTACCCATCAACATCTACTTTACTAGTTGACAAATTAGCCAACTGGGCACGGAGTGAATTTGACCTAAACTTCTCACACTTCCATGACATGATACTAGCAAGTAACTAAGGACAAACCGGGAAGGTTTCAAGAAGTAAGAAAAAGAAAGGGGCTCGTCTTGATGGCCAACATCAACATGTGATATCACAAAGGACAAATTGGGAAGAGAAATCAATAGATTTGGGATAGAAAATTCAATTTACAATCTGACACAGAGCTAGAAGTGCTTCTTGAACTTGTTCTCAATTCAAAGATTCAAGTAATGCTGCAGGGCCTTTTGGCCTTTCATCCATGTTTTACACCTCAAAAATCACACCAGCTTGAATAGTAAAGCCAAAGAAGTTAAAGAAATCATCATTATATAAAAGAAAAACAATCGCCATAAAGATGAACCAAGCTACCAAAAGTAGAAGTACAAAATGTTTCAATCCAGGAATACTATTTCAGTTACTACCATTGCCGCATTATTTACATCATATTATCATTTTTGTTGGTTTTAATCCTCACACAGCCTCTCAAGCTTCTCGTCTTCTTGTTTTCCTTGCCATTCGGGCAACCTTACTCACTGATACTAGTCTATTGCCTCGTCTTCCCATTTTCTTGATACTTCAGCTATATATTCTTCTACATTTCCCTATATGCCACTGTAACCCTCGTCTCTTTACCCCTCTTATGCTATATATATATATTCTGTTTATCCTCCCTTTTAACGTTCCCATTCCTTTTCACCGCAGTCAGCTACCTTTCTTTTTGCTCTGGCTTTAGACGCACATCTATTCTTTACCTAGTCCTACCGCTTGCTCTCATCTTGGTTGTGACTCTCTCCCTCTCTCTCTCTTTCATATTACACCAGCTGTTCGTATTCATATTTCCTTTCATGGGGACCTTAGAGGAAAGATTAAACGAGCAGTTGACACCAGTAGTCCAGCCGCCACCAGCAGTGGCGAAACCAAGCGGCAATACAAATCATTCGATCGAAACCCTTGTTGTTGTCTTAGCTGTGATCACTATAGCAGCTGTTATTGCAGGGATTCTTGCACGGTTATGCGGTGGGCGACACTTTGGCGGCAATGGAGAGCATGACATAGAAGGTTGGGTAGAGAGCAGATGTAGGAGTTGTATTGATGGTGGAATCCCCGCCCCGCCACCCCCGCCAGCAGAGGCAAAGCCAGCAGCGGCAGCGGCAGCAGAAGAGGCAAAGAAGTGAATATGGCCATAGAAGTGCAGAACTAAGGCATCATAGCAGAAAATATCTTGGAATATTATCACATATTAACATTGTTTTAGCTTAGTAGAGAGTGATTACGCTTTTACTGCTTCAGTGGAGTGCCATTCATCATCATATGCTAAGTATCATTTAACAGAACAATTAAAAGGGATGTCGAGTAATGATTTCAGCAGAAACTTAATAGAGTGTATGCCTTTTTATCTTCAATTAGACTGATCAGTTTGCAGTTTTCTAGGTTTCCTTTTCTCTTTCCATTAGACCGAGTCTATCTCTCGAGTTCGGTTAAAAGTTAGGCCATCCATGCCAGAACAAGGGGATTCATACGCACTTCATGGCGTAATGCACGCACCGGATTTTCCACTAACTTTCTGCAATAAATAAAGGGAAGCAACATCATAGCAAACAGAAGTAATGCAAACAATTTCACTGTAAAAGCAGAGAGAAACTTTTTCACAATCTGACCGTTGCTCTTTTAAAAGCTAAACCTCTTGCAAGCCATATTATATGCTTGCATTATAAAGCTTTTAGCGTGTGACCGTTGCTAGTTTTTCTAAAGAAATATTTATAAACAAAAGTAAAGCCATCAATTATGAGCGACTTTGAGTTTCTAATGAAACCATGACCTTTCTCCAACAGAACTTAAAATCAGGAACTCAATGCTGGAGTTCCAAACCCACTATTCTATTGCTTCAAGAGTCATTACCATTTCAAAATATAATTTAAAAATTATATCATCCTACATTCTTATATTTATATATGTGTAATGTGGTGTTGGCCTTCCTTACGTGTAGTGATAAGAAAGAAATTAAGTCTCGAAGTCCTAAAATTACAGTTCTAATTTTAACACCGTACTGAAATTAATATGATTTTTTTTTAATAGGAGCTAAATAGACCTAGCTAATTAAAATCAAATCAATTAAAAATTCTGAAACTTAATCAGTAATGGAAAAATTACTAGGAAAAATAAAGAAATTCCAAAAAACAACTTTCAGGTCTATTTGGATATGATCCCGGATCCAACTAGTGCTAATTGATCAACTCATAGATAAAAACCACATATATAGAATATATTTGTAAAATTTCAGCTTGATTTAATAATCAGATCCAAAACTATGCTCATCTTCCTAAGAAATCTCGTTTAACTCATCCAAACTTCTTATTAGATTTGAATTTGTTGATTCAGTCCATGAACAATCTGCTAAAATTTTCTTGTTACGCTTACTGCATCACCCAGTCACTCCTCAAATATAACGAACCAATTTCATTGAGAAACGGGAATTTCGCTATCCTGTGCTCGTGACCATTAACACCCTCCACAGCCTCCCCGAGCTACTTCGGGAGGTAATCTAACCCCCTTCTCGGACGATAAAATAATGGTATTTGTGACATAAAAGTTTGAAATAGTTAGATGTTAAGAACAATAGGAAACAAGGATTCCAATACCATGTTCAAGCTATCCATAAAGGGCAGGAAGTAGCAGCTAAAGAATAATATTCTCATTTCAGACAACATTTCTCATTTCTTACAACATATAAACGTCAGGGAAGAGATGAACAGTATCATCTCCAACAGCCGACCTCTTTGGGATTGGGGCCACTAACTTATGAGGTGAATCAACTCAGGAGACTAATAAACTTGTCAAAAAATGTAAAGAATAACATAGAAATGAACCTATAATTATTTTCTGGTGAGACTATTCAGACCAGAACAGAACACTACACCAAGCAGAAGGCAAACACCTTTCAAGATTTTCTGATTGAGGATATCTTGATAAATCTTAAAAAATCTTATCCCCCTGGTTATGATTTTGTTCTATATTCAATCTACATGTTCCTCTAGCAGTTGATGCCGCACTGCTCAACGTCCGGCCCAGTCACCCTTGTTGTAAAAGGATCCACACGTACCCATAGCAAGGAGAAAATAGAGGCAAGGAGAACTGACCAGACAACAATGATAGTAGGTGTTCGGTTCTGGCGTCCCATCAGACCCTTGAGGAAAGGGTAAAGATGAATGATCACCCAGAAAGCAAAGAAAAGCTTGCCAAAGAGGGGACCCCAAGATTGATAACCACTGTTTATGGCGTAGGAGACTCCAGCAACCACTCCAACTAGATTGATTATGAGGAGAGTAGTTGGTGGGATAAGTAAAGTTGTCCACTTGAACATATATAGCTCGGTAAAATCACCATCTTCATCGGATGCTTTTGAAGTGACAGTAAAATTGGTATCTATTCCAGCAAGGACTTTCAGCAGGCCTTGGAAGACAGCAAATAGATGAGCTGACACACCTCCAATAACCCAGAACTGCTCATTTCTCCACCATTCATCAATCCCAACACCACTCCATCTCATTTCCAAAATACCAGTTGCAAAGATTGATAGAAAGAGGGATATGAACCAGATACTGGCGATGTTACTAATCTGCAATACAACAAAACACAAATCAGGCATGTGAACTCCCCGGAATATTACTTTTCAAGAGAAAACACAAAAGAATCGTCTTTTTTTTTTTGAGAAAACACAAAAGAATCGTCTCTCGTTTTTTTTTTCCTGTAGACAAGTTCTCGCAGTTCAATTCGAGTTAGAAAAGAAGAAAACTACATTATCATTCCGCAGTTAGCGACAAAAATATTACTCTCAGGCCAGGATCTCCTTGTTCCATAATGTCAATAGTTTCATACTTAACAAAAAGCAGAGACGGTGAATGCAACTATTTTCACCTGTGGAATAATGAACTTTCCAGTAAGAAGGCACACGGCTGGCAATGTACAATAGGCAAGAAGAGGAATAGCGGTGATTGGATAAATCGTGGTATTGATATATGCAAATCTCTCGAGCCATTTTAGCCTTCCACTATAGCCATACCATATAGGGCAGTGACGACTGAGAAGAATTTCAACTGAACCTAAAGCCCACCGAAGCACTTGATTTAGACGATCAGAAAGATTAATAGGAGCAGATCCTTTAAAGGCAGGACGCTTTGGCATGCAATAGATTGATCTCCAACCACGAGCATGCATCTTGAATCCTGTAAGGATATCTTCTGTAACTGAACCATAAATCCATCCTATCTGCAAAAAGAAAGAACAAAATGTTTATGAGGAACAAAAAATTAATGTGTCTACATAAGCTACAGGAAGGGATGCACATAAAGCTCCTTCTCTTCCATTTTTTTTTTTGGGGGTGAAGAAGTGAGAGTCTGTGGCTTGTGGTATATTCGTCCATTTTACAGCATAAAAAGAAATTGGTATCAGCACTGAGGGATGAAAAAGGGTTAACGTACTTCACTTCCCCAGTCTGTCTTGTCTTCATATCCACAGCTGATGACATGAATAGCTTCTTTTAGAAGAGACTCTGGGGTGGCAGATCCAGGAACACCGCCGTTCTCCATAAGGGTGGAAGCAACAAACACGGATGATTGACCAAATCTTTTCTCAAGTGTCATTTGAGACATGAGCAATGACTTTTCGTCATCGAATCCAGTACCTTTTGAAGAAAGTTACAGAATATCAGCATTGCAAGCACAGAGAAGAGGTAACTAAAAACTATCAGACAACAAACTACCATCTATTTAGCACAACTGAACACTTATTGGAAGTAACGTCTTTTACATGTCAATAAATCTTTAAACCCTATCCTGAGGACAAGTTTCAGCAAGATTATAGTCATTTAGGACATGAAAAGAAGTAAAATGATTTCAACCTAAATTATATCAAGTTTGAATCATTAAAGATAGAAGGAAGAACCCTATGTTTTTGGACATGTCACCAACTTATGTAAGTATATATTTATGTCTGAAGAATGAACATGTGACGGATCTGGTGCAAGTTGTATCCAAGGAAAAAGAAAAATCCATGCTTACCTTCAACCCCTTCTTCTATATCTTCTAAATTGAATACGGGCAAAGTAGGGTCATCATGCTTGCTCGATTTTTTCTTGCTTTCCTTTCTACTTGATCTTGAACTCTTCTTCCGGGATCCACCAAAGCATGAAGACAGAAATCCTGGTTTCTTATGCTTAGGCTTGAGAGGAGGCTCATAGCCATACAAGGCTGTTCTATTGAAAACACACCCTGTACCCACGTATACAGGGCCTTGGATTCCATCCAATCCTCTTAAATTTATCTACCATCGCATAAGCATCAACACAATATCAAGAAGAAAAAACATATATGAATTTCATTTTCTGTAACATGTAAAATGAATAGTTCTGCATGCCACATACATCATGAAACAATAAATGAGGACAAATTTGTGCCAAAGGTTGCAGTAAGTACTTACATCAAAGAAAACAGTGTTACGGTTGGCATATCGATCATTTCTATCAATCCCATCAAATCTCTGGGGAAACTGGACATAACACACTGTTCTTCCAAGATTAGGATCCATTAGAAAACACATAGCTTCTCTCAATGCCCTACTGTTGTTTATGTAATGATCACAATCAAGATTTAACAAGAAGGGCCCATTGGTGAGAACTGCTGAAACACGAACCTGTATGAGATACATGTTAGTTAGTAGTGAAACCTTAGCAGATTCCGATATTGATAATACTGAGAACTTACAAGTGCATTCATAGCACCAGCTTTCTTATGATGCTGAAAACCAGGACGCTTCTCACGAGACACATACACCAGTCTTGGAAGTTCATTACCCTCAGTATCAAGACCTCCACTATGGCCCAAGAAAACCTGCAAATTATAATGTAAATAGGATTAGACACCATAACATGTGTTGATGCCAACAAGAAAGTATGATCCAAGAGAACTATCGATAAAAAACAAAGGCTGCTTAAAACAGTCACTCCTGTGTTGTGATGCCCGGTTCACAATCAGCGAGTGGAATAGAAAGGTTATATGCAGAAGTATAAACAGAACTATCCAATTGCCAAGCAGAAATACATAGATCGCATAAGGAAAGAAAAAGCTAAACTTGAGATAAAGCCATTTACAGGAGTGCAGTACATGAGAACATCCCGACATTGTGGATTTTGTGCGGGTAGTAGTTATCCTATAAGAAGGCATTTCCTACTGAGGAATATCCTAGTTTAGTTTGAAAATGGACAAACCTGGATCATTCCTGGATGATCTCTGGTATTATTTCCAGGCCAAGGCGTACCGTCTTGCATGACCCATCCTTCATCAGGAACCTTTTGTGCCTTTGCAACAAGCCCATTGACACGAACTTTAAACTCTTCATATTCTCTCTGCAAGAAAGTCATTAGGAGTAGGACGAGTAATATACATGCTAAGTTTATGAGTAACAAAATCATTCAATAGAACCTCAATTTCCTACCTTCATAGCTCTGCGTTCTTTAACAAATGCCGGATGAACCTTGTCTTTTAAGTAGTCAATCTTTTGAGCGAAGTACCATTCTGGAGCTCGCGGCTCAATATCATATTTCTTGCAGAAAGGAACCCATTTTCTAGCAAATTCAGACGTTTCAGATATGGCTTCAAATGTCAACATAGCAGCTCCATCATCTGAAACATAGCAAGAGACTTTGTCGACTGGGTAATCTACTGCAAGAATAGACAGTACGGTATTGGCTGTGACCAGTGGAGGTTCCTTTAAAGGGTCGACTGTACTGACAAAAATGTCAACAGCAGCCAATTGAGACGGCTCTCCTTCTTTCTCATATCTGGAGGTATTGAAAACTTTAGAAGTTACATCTTCTTAAGGACATTTGGGCTGACAATGGTTAATGTAGATTGTAGGAAAAAAGAAAAACTACCTGAGAGATAGCCTGTCAAGATATGTCTCACGATTCACTGGAAGCCATTTAGGGAACTGATCCAATATCCATGATATTGCAAACCATATCTCACAGATAACAGATATTAACCACAAAGCATAAGCATCCCTCACTGGATTTGTTAGACGGTAGTGTAAGAAAATGCAAAGGACAGCAAGCCGCAAAACTATGACCATCCTGTAAGGGTTAATCCTAGAGGAAGGAATTGAAACCTTCCTTGAGAGGGGCTGGCGGGCTTCATCATTTCTGCATTACAACCATGGGATAAATACAAGAAAACAATGACGAAAAAAATAAAATACAAATATCAACTGAATTAAAATCATGGATTTGCAAAGCTAAAAGGGAGAAAGCCATAGAGGAAAAACCAGAGGAGGAGAGGGAGGAAAAGCCACAGTTTCATATAGGTAATATGTGAACGCTGTTAGGCAGATGATAAACGGACAATCTGCTTAAAACAACCAGTTTCACACTCTGCTTCAGGCACTTACAGTAAAGAATCATCCATGAGCACATCAGTGCTGGCATCAAAATCGCCGCCACCCCTGCCTTCAGATGGTGCATTACTAACACTCATTGGAGCAGTATTCTTCTCAGGCTTCATCTTCCAACCATCAATCCTCTCTCTCCAGGCTACATTGCCAAACCCCAGTGATCCAGAATCCCTTGTTGGATCCCTCATAGTAGCTGCAGAAAGTCCAATACTGACATTAAAATCTGAACTCAACGATATTTATTTTAGCAGATATACATCCATACCTCTGATGCCACTTTCAGGAGAAGCCAATGAGTAACGTTCAGGAGATGCAGCTGAAAGATCCCCAGAAACCTGAAATACAAATATTATCAGCAACCATTGTCAATATTAAAGAGAGAAGAGAAACTAGAAGCAACGAATTGCTCCATCACCTACCGAGCGTCTACCAGCTAGATAAGGAATATGGTTAAGAGAAAGATCTCTATCATAGTTTGTAGTTGCAAGATGCTCTTTTCGACCAGAACCCGAATCCCAAGCCATCATACGCTCTATCTTTTGTTTCTCATCTTGAACACCTGATGTATGATGATTTGACTTGTTTTCTACATCATCAGAATTAGCATCTTCCACTTCTTCACCTTGAATTGGAGGGCTTCCTGATGAGAAACCAAAATGTGTTACTGACACATTATCTACGCATGCATGAATTGTAAACGCAGAAACAAATGGTGTTGGATTAACCTTTATGCCTCTTGTATTTGGTCTTGCATTGAGGACAAGACTGGCTACCATCCTTCCTCTCATACTCATAACATGGACGGCAAACTGGAAATGAACATACATGGCAAGCAACAAAGGGCTCTCCATCTACAGTCTTGCCAATATCATCACTGCAGATCTGGCACACCTGGATTTTTTTTGGCTGAACAACCAGCAAAACAACCAAAGCCAAAGTAAATTCATAGATAAGAAGACCCAGGAACAGATTTCATAATCACTATCGCAAATCTCTAAGATAGCACAATTTCCGAGCAGTTCAAATGTATTAGATTCAAAGGAGAGAGATTATCTTCCTTGATTCTAAACGCAGCAAACAAACAGATTCTCCAACGAGAAACAAAGAACTTCTGACAATCATGCATACAGATTTGGATCATCACACCAGCGAAAGTTCAGCTATTGGCATCTAGAATATAGAATCATGATCTACACTTAACCAAAACTATCTCATAAACAAGTCAGACATTAAATCCCGTTCGGATCTGAAAACGCTAAGCAGAAGGAATATAAAATGCAATAAAATGGTTTCATCTGCAATCATATATTAAATTAAACAGGAACGGGAACAAAATCCCATTTCCACTTTTCCTGTCATTTTCTTTCAAGGATCCAAACATGATGGAATAGAGAACAAAGCTTCCAACCCAAAAAAAAATAAAAAAATTCACCAGAAAGCATGCAGCAATGCATTTGTACAAACTCCACACCCTTCATATCACAATCCAATCAATTGAGTGTCTACTCTCTATCTATCGGTCCCAATAAAAACAAGCAAAGTTATCAAAATGCGACTAACCCCAGTAGCATCTCCTTCTAAATCCATTACTGCCCCTTCAAGCAATCAAGCAAAATGCTCAATCCCCAGTTCACAAAATCTTTAAAGCAGCTATTTTTAAAGGCAACCCTCCATTGATGAACCAATGGAGTCCCGATGATGCCACACAAAAATGAAGCCTACTAGACTATAAAAGCTTTAAGTCCCACACCGACACTGACCGACAGATCCACAGTATCTGTTTCTATTATTTCACTCCATTCCCATTCCCTTTTATTTTATTTTCATTTTATAAAGTATTCAGAGATGATTATATCAAAAAAAGGCTGCCAAAAAAAGGAAAATGTTTATCTGAATTTATGTCAAGGTATAAGTGGAACTTGAAGTGCAAGTTTGGAGATGCTTATGTTACAGTTCTTTTCTTCGATCAGATCTTGCCACTTAAGCGTGTTGATAGTTTTGACGTGGCAAAATATGATTGGATGTTTTTAATCATCCGCCTCCTGCGGGCGGTCCCTTTTCTCTTCTGTGCAGTGAGACAAGATCCAAACAAATGTAAGTACTACGCTCGAGAGTAGGGTAATTAATACACTCGCGTTTAGGACACGCTGGTTGTGTGAATTTACTCACATGCCACGAGTTTTGGAATGAGATATGGAGAGTATTAGCTTTACATAAGCGCTTGGTGTGTGTAAGAATGGCGGGGTTTGACATGAGAATGATGAGCTGGCAGTAACTGTTACATCAATTGGATTTTTTAACCGCGAGGACTCGACCGAAGTAGTGACGTTTACTAAGGGATTAAATGGTCAATTTAATGGCCCTGAATTTATTTTTCTTTATTGAGACTGGCCTTTTTTAAACCTTTTTTTCCCCCTCGCTGTTCGAAAATAATAATAATGATAATGGATTAGGGCCAATAATTGATATGAGATGATCCAATGAATAAAGTTAGTCTTGCCCATATATTTCACTGATCACTTATCTAAAATATTAAGCTATTAATTTTTTTTTTAATTTATTTGAAAGAGAGATAAATACATAATAATAATAATAAAAACTCTCTAGGATTCATTAGAAATGATAACGATATTTTTATTTTGGATAAAACATAATTTTTTAATTTTTAATTTTAATTTTTTTAATGAGACCTATTCATTAAATAAATGAGATGGGAAAGGAATTTTTGTGTTTGGGTAGCATATATATATATATATATAACTTTTTTTATGGCAAGAGAAATATGCATAGATTTTAGTTACATAAATTGCTTTAGATATATACCTTTGGGATGATTTTTGTAAAACAATTTTTAACTTAAATAAAGTTATAAGTATATTTGGTTAGAAAATTTTTTTGTTTAAATTAAAAGCTTGTTATTATAAAATTAATTCAAAATTTTGATTTAATCAAAAATAATTTTTTTTAACTTTTTGTTTGTGGATTATAACTTATATACCTTTATGTCTTCAAAAAAGTTGTTTTAAGTTATTTTTACCAAACATGTTTATAAGTTAAAGTTATTTTAACTTATTTTTATCACAACTTATTTATGAAAAACAAAATTTCAATTATGAGTTAAAATACAAAAATATAATTCAAAAATCATATCAAATGGAATATAAAAAAAAATACTATGAAAAACATGTGAACAATAGACCTTTACCTATAGAATTAAAAAATTATAAGAAATATGGATGATTTTTTAATTCATTTTTTTAATATGTTTAGCTTAATTTTATAGAAGATCAATTTGCTGTAACCAATTAAAGTTGTTTTTTATATCCAAATTTCATGTGTTAGTTGTTGTTTTGAGAATTTTTTATTTTACTAGTTGTTTTATGATTTTTTTTCAATTAGATTAATTTTATTTAATTCAGGTTTTATTAGTTAGATCATTTTAACATACCATTTAAACATTTTTGTATGCTATTGGCAGAAGAATTATTGACATTCAAAATTTATCAAATCAGAATGCTCTTTTCAATTCATTTGTAATTTTAGGGTTTATAAAACCTTGAATTTTCTCTTTTAGCTATACGAATCATGTCATAAATCAATATACAATGACATTGAACTTTTATTGGTAATAATGTATACAACCATTGATTAATGATTGACTATGTATAATTAATAAATAATCCATGCGGTCCAATTGAAACCTGAGAAAATTAAACCAAAACAAAATGTTAATGTCAGGTAACCAATTGAAAAACTCAGTTCTCTAATCACAGAACAAAGATGATGCTCTGGGAAACTTTGGCTTACCTTGTTCTAAGTTTTATTTGGCCCATCATGGACATTTGGGAGAAACAACACCCAATTCAGCTAATTTGACATTGTTGCACGAAGCTATGGCTTTTATCGCTCCTTCTCTTTCAAGATTAACATCGTGCATCAGAATCCCTCCGCATGGATAAGTCTTGCTGCAATCAAATTTGATAGCCACCTCAGAAGCACTAGTCCCCTTTATGTTCTCGTACACCACATTTTTCACTTGGACTGCTGACCTCTGCATGCCATAATCAAGAAAAAGTTTTAACAACTAGATTAAGGGGGATGGGCACTGCTTTTAAATGCTAATTGTTGTTAAGGTCCTCCGGGATAAAGTTCTTCACCTGTTCTTCGCATGCTTCATCTTGGTCACAGTAGTTTTGATCTATTATAATGGGGTTGGTGACATTGTTCATTTCAATATTCAGAAACTTGATGTTGCGTGCACTTCCAGACCCTCCCTGCATATTAATTAAGATCATAATTGAGCTTAAATCTTGATTAAATGATATATAATGCACATCAATATTGTTGATGAAATGAAGGATAGTAAACATTACCTGCCATGTTTTGATCCTAACACCATTTGTGGTACCAGAAAACTTGGCACCATTGACAGTAACTCCTGAAACGTAGTCTTCTGAATTATGAACTCCCAAGCTTCCAATGCTGTGCACAGAAAGGAAATTGAAAGAGCAATAGTTGTTAATGCTTACAGAAACTCATAGTAGCTAAGGAAACAAGCAATTCATATGAGAGAAGAAGTGTCAGTTCAAAGAAGTTTAGAGTTTGATGTTTACTATTTCAGACCTGATTCCATGACCTGGTCCACAAGTTATGTCCGAGGCTTGAACATTTTGGGATCCACTTACAATGGAGATACAATCATCACCTTCATCAACCATAAGTGATTAATTGCACAAGACAATCATAATAAAAATTGTATGAATCTGAAGAGGTGGGCAATAAATACGTGGATATATATATATACCTGTTCCTATAACTGAATCAGTAATCTGGATGTTTTGGGTGCCTGTGACATGGATTCCATCAGTGTTAGGGCTTCCCTCCGGTGAGGTTACTGTGAGGTTGGAGACTTGAACACCATTGCTTTTCTCGAAAGAAACATGCATTTGTTGTGCATTTTGGATTTTGAGGTTCTTCACAACCAAATTCTGGCATTCATAGAAGGTTATTGCCTGCAAAGCATACATGGTTTCCCAAAATGATGATTTTGTAGCTTCGCAAGATGAGAACCAGAGAAAAAATTGCAAAACTTTTCAGACTAAGAGCATAAATACCGTAGGCGCATCTTTGCAAGGCTGCAAAAATCATGAAAGAAAGAAAAATGATCAGCTTCTATTGTTCAGCAGAAAAATGAGAAGATGAAAGTCTATATTACTTCTAGGATTAACAGTAAGAAATACAGAGTTTATATATATGACTTACAAGGGTTTTATCGACTTTGCATGAGTTTTGCCACCATATCTTCCCATTTCCATCAATAGTTCCACCACCTTCAACTTGCAGATTCTGAACACTATCAAAGACAAGCCAATGTCTACGATCTTCTTTGTAGTCCGATAGATCATCAGATGCTTCAATGACTCCGTTTACCTGAGATGATTTTTCTCAAAAAATGGCCAAATATTTATCTCGTGCAAATAGCATGATCTATCTCTCCAAAAATATTTATGCGTTTAAATCCATATATGTACGTATTGAAACTCACCTGTAATTTGATATTAGATATGCAAGGACCCTGGAATGTAATCGGCTTAAGACGATATGTATAGTGGGGCACAACAACAACAGCTCCTTCAGAGGAAGAACAAGCTTCCTTCCAAGCCTTTTCAATTGTCTGAGAGAATTAAGTTATTAGCTATTACTTGCAAGAAATATAGTAGAAGGTATGCAATATTTCTACAAAGCAAGAGAGGAATTAAGCATTCTCAAAAAAGAAAAGAAAAGAAATCAATCAAGGGCCTTGAAAAAGAAACGGCAAGAGACTGGGATTGCTAAGAAATTAAGTATGTTTCACATGAGTACGTGTCCTGTTCTTGTCACTAAATTAAAGATTTAAAAATCAAATAACTGATGACTGCTAAAAATATTTACATACAAATTAAGGTGTTGATCATTGGATTAGAATATATGGCATGAATTCCCCAAGTTTCTGCACACTAAAGGCATAATCAGTTCATATCTTAATTAATGTAATTAAGAATAGATGGAACACGTGTACAAATATATGATGTAGGCTGTTTTGATTATTCACCTGTCATAACTATGTAAATAGGATATTTATGAATAGATAAGACAGAGCCAAGCCTAAAAAGACATCAAGCTTTGTCATAACTATGTAAATAGGATATTTATGAATAGATAAGATAGAGCTAAGCCTAAAAAAAATTATTTTTTTATCAGAAATTTAGATCATGCTTAGATTTAATCGTGAGATTCTACATGCTAATTCTATTCTATACAAGTCAGCTAATTATAACAAGTCAAAATTTGGAAGGTTTACAAATTAGATTAAGAAAGTGTTGTTAGGTCAATTTTGTTATTTTTCATCTTTATTTTTGAATTTTCTAGTTTGTTTAGGGTTTTTTTTTCTAAATTAAAATAGTTTCCTATCTTATTATGTAGTTTTTTAAATTGATTTAAGGGATTGTAAATTTCCTAAAGAAACAAACTAATTGAAGAAAAAATATATATTCGGTAATAGAATTTTAAATTAATATTTTTATATATTAATTCTATTCCACGTAATTCTGTGCTACGTGTTAGTATTTTATTTTTTGTACTGTTTATGTCTATGTAAAATTGTCTTATATGCTTCTTATAGAATATAGAATATGAATATATAAAAGCATGCTATACTAATGTTAATGCATTATTATTAATCGTGTTTTGTGGACATGAAAGGTTCGATGATACTGCCTGTCAGAAAGAAAATATGTACCTCTGTGTCATCTCCTCCATCAGCTTTAGCTCCAAAATCCTTTACATTAACAGTTCTAACTGAAGTTGATTTGCCACCCACTTTGCTAA